GAGTTTGCCTGTGCTACATTAGATGTGACTGGTAAGAATTTCTACAACTGAAAAACCGATGGATATATTTGTTCTGAAATGCACTGACTGGACAAAACTTGTTGTAAACAGATTTATGAAAGTGACTCAGAATTTGGAACAAACTGAAGATGAGTAAGAGAAAAAAGAGCAGAAAAAATGTGTCCTATTATTTTAAAAATGTGCAGTGCTGACAACGTGCATTGAGGCTGCTGAGGGTAGAGCCCCAGTTTCTTCATTTCAACATCTATTTGTTTCCTTCTCTGTGCTGTCTTACAGCCCAACTGCAGAATTAAGAGAGTTTTTAATGTTTTCTTCTTGGACAGACTTCTGCTAAGCAACAGCTAACACTTCTATGACTTAGAATAGTAATACCAGCTATTACTGTAATCAGGGATTCATAGTTAATTTCCCTGCTGCATAATGGAATCTCATTCCTATCACAGAACTTTATTTCTATGAAATCATTTTTTAAAAGATAGTACTTTTTAAGCTTTTGTAGAAAAGCCACAAGAATTGGTAAGCTTTTTTTTTTAACTACCGCTATATTGTGTCAACTGGTATTTCATGCATTTTTATTTTTTTGTGAGGGAAAACAAAAGTTCATATTTATGTCTTCGAAGATTTTCTTTTCATTCGGATTTCACATCCATTCACAGGGACATTAACACAGTAAGTCTATTAACAAATGCAAGGGGTTTCACAAGTTCAGTTGTCGTAATTAGTCATATTTCAGCTTTAAATGACTCTCTGCTCTAAGAAAAAAGATTATGGCTTTTCTTCTTGCTCTATTACCCAATTGGCATTTAAGTCAATCTGCTAAAAGAGTATCTGTTTCAACAGAAGCTCAAAATAACCCATTAAAGGAATATGCAAATCCGAGTATTTTTTTAATACTTTAATCTAATAAGAACATATTACATTACTAAGAAATTCCGTCTGAATCTATTATACAGCTCTCCTTTAGTTCTTCCATAACTCCGCTTTTGCTGTCATGAATAGGACAAACAAAAAGAAAAAAGCTGTTTTACTGGCAAGACGTTTATAACACCTTGAAGTTCATACACGGGTTACAGAAAATAAACCTTCATCCCATTCATAATGTGTAGTACAGTAAGAAAAGCCTTTCCACAGAGCATGGCACATCCTCAACTGTTTAAATCCGCGCAATTGAGAACACGGTTACGAACTGAAAACCCATCCCTACATCGACTTCAGAGTTGCCCTCCACACTACAACGCTGCATCAGAAAGTTCCTGTTCCCAAAATCCTGACAGGAAAGACGGATTACCTTTCAGCTTACTGTTAAACAAAGCTGCACCATGAAATTCATTTAGTGATGCCTTCAACAGATTTGATAAATACAAAGCATAAGGAACAAAAGGAATTTGGAAAAATATTAATTAGATCAACAGTCTTCTGAAGTAAGGCACTAAGACACTGCCTGCTGTGGATTTGTTCCCTTCGAAAGAGACAGTGAATCAGTGAACCTTGCAGAGAGGCCAAAGAGGAGGCTGATACTTATTGATTAGTGATAAATAAGGTGCTATGAATTCCCCAGAACGATTGCTAAATGAAACGATGCTTCGCATGAAAAGGGCCAGACCCACACCTTCAAAAAACCTGTGTGGATCAAAACACTGACACTTCACAGCATTTGTAAGTTAGTCCTTCCAGGTCAACCAAATAGAAATAAAAAAAAATACATAAGAGTTTAACTTTGTAACGTTCTATCCTCTGCATTAACTAGTTCTATTTTTTGGAATAAGATGCAACCAAAACCTGACGAACTTCCATGATACTTAGGGTGTTTTGACAGCAGCTGGCACATGCTGTTCTGATTTACAGGGACGCATATTTTAGCTTGTTTTCAGGTTTTTTACAACACAAATTGGCCTGCCATGCTTTACATTAGTCTTCTCATTTCAGGATCTTACACGTGAGGCTTTGTTAAATGGTTTAAAAAAAGGCCTATGGTGAAAGAAGAGGGGAAAAAAAAAAAAGCAGCTCCATATCATCTTTTTAATGTGGAAAATTATTCCTACTTCAGGGTAGTTATTTGATTTGATACAAGAATTTTTAAAACCTCAGCATACTCAGAAGGCTTTCAGCCTTTTCAGTGAATTACTCCCCTCTCAGGCATACTTTGTCCATTTAAATTCTGCTTCCAGTAATGCTGTACATGTTTATTATTCTGTTAGCAAGGAACTGACAATAAAGCCTGTTTTGCTTTAAGAGGAAAAAGCATTTATGCTCTCGTGACGGCTTCCTTTGCATAGTGCTTTCCTTCGTGTTAATACATTCGTGTCAATGCCCTCCTGCCTTCCTCCAAATACAACGTCAGCAGAGCTGTCCTACCTGTTCAGCTAATGGACACTCCCGTTAAAACACAAATCCAGGTCCTCACTGCAGCTGAGTGACACACAACTTGCCTTCTCTCCTGGTTTAGAGTTGACATTTCTTTGCAAATAAAAATGTTATCCTTCTTCCTGACTGAAGCATTATGATTCATCAAGTTACAGTAGGAGGAGGGGATTGTCTTGGTCTTCCCAGTTATTGCAGACCTATAAAAGAACACCAGTGGGACTTATCCCATCTACGTGTTTAGAGATCTGCAGAGACCCTACGTGTTTGAGCTCACTGTTTTATAATCGATGGAGGTAAGCGGGCACTTCTTTTAAAAGTGCCTTATCGCATCCTGATGTAAATTGCCTGCATCATGTGGAATGGTCCCCTGTTAGAAAAGACGGATACTGCCATCTTCAAAAAAATGCTTTAGGATGAGATTAATCACTTCTGAGGAGACTCCAGTCCATTTCTCTCCATAGGCTATAAAGAGATTCAGGATATCTCTCAGAGTTTAAAATTTACAACATTGGCATTTAAACGTGAATGGATTAATCTCATCCTATAGGCTGGCTAGAGTAAAACAAGGTTTAAATTAATAGGATGACCTGTGTATGTGTTGTGCTGAGAGCCAGCTACTGCTGCTTGGCTGCAGCCGGTGCATCTGGCTCGTTTGTCTGAGCACACTGCATTGAATAACGAGAATTCCCTGTGCTAGTGTGACCAAACAAGAACTAACTAATGCATTGCCTCCTGCCTTCTGGTTTCTATTAGTAGGACATTTACTGAAGATTTCTTTCCTAGGGATTTCAGGTTAAAAGCTGCTTTATCTTTATTCTGGTATCTAAGTGCTGCCCTCCTTCTACACAGCGAGTGCTGAGGCATTTGATCACATCAACTTTTATGTCTCACTCCATGTACAGAAAACGCAGTGGAAAACTCCTTTAGGACCAAGCAATGTATGTGTAAAGACAGGCAAACCAAAGTCCCCTATAAATAGAGCACCCTGACTTTCATCATTTTCAGTTCATTCCTCCCCTTTTTGGACCAATTTCTGGATGTATTATGCAAGCTGGAAGAATAGATGCAAATTCCCCAGTGACTATTAGTGTGTCTAGACTCATTCATTGACCTAGAAGATGTCTTAATTGCTTCTTTTCTATCTGATGGGGAAAATACACTCTAATAAGTCCTGGCTGCAACCTTTGTCATGAACCATTCCATCTGAAGTCACTGAATTTAATGAAAAGCAGCTATATCCATGTTCTCTGAGTTATGCACTTATCACCAATTTAATATCATTCATAAGGAAAACTCTGCCCATTTAAATGTTTGTTTTCAAGACTTCAGGTTTTTTAGGCTCTTGGCTACTGGACAAGGTAGTGGCTGCTACTTATGAATCTTATTACAATTTACAATATAAAAGTTTAGAATGAATAAGATAAACCATACATATAAATTGAACATCTTATCAGCATTTAACATTTTTTCACATTATAGGAAAGCTTAATACTTTTCAGATGCATCCAGCTTGACAAATCATCTATAAATTTCCAAGTTTACAAACCAGCCTGTACTCTCACAGCACACTTTGCATAAAAATGACAAGATGAAAGTAAAATCCAGTCAGAGGTTGTGGTACAACTTCTGCTATTACCATTTTTCAGATGGAGAACACATGTATTTTCTTCTTTGTAGGGCCAGCCACTATGCAGAGTAGAAATGTAATTTTAGATTAACTGGTAAAGAATTTGAATCTCAAGGGGAAAAAAATAAAATAAAAAAAAAAAAATCTGTTTTCATGTGATAGGTCTTCATTTGCAGAAAGGAATTTGTCCCCCAAATGAAGCAACACGTTGGGTAGATGCATCACTTCATGGTATTAAGATTAATATAGCCTAAGAAGCTTTGGGGCTGCTTGCTGCATCAAATACATGCTGCTGCGTCAGTGAGCACTAAATGCCAGAAAGTATTAGTAGATTTAGCAGATTTAAGCAAGGATGCATTTCTCTGATTACTTCCTGCTAACGAAATTTTGCTTTAATCATTTTAACTATTAATGTATCATTCATATCAAGACTGTAATAAAGTGTACATTGCATATCACGGGTCACTCACAGGACACTTATCTCTATGGAATTTCCAGTTTGGATAATAGGTTTTTATACAAAAGAGATCACTGGTTTCTAACATAAACCTCTTTTATTCCAATCCCTTCTCTGTGTAATGCTCAACAGAAACAGTAATTGAAAACTGCTTTTCAAAAGTCTCCCAGGCTTCCAAACTAAAATAAAGCATGAGACTGTCTGAGCAAAACAGGGAAGTACCACCCTGTGTCAACCAGGATGGACAGAGATAACTCACCTCAATTTAAGGTGCAGAAATTCACAGCAAGAAATTCTTCCTCTGTGCTTTCTTTTTGGGAGCAGACTGACTTTGCTGCCAAAATATTCTTCAGACTTTTGGTCCAGTGATGGTATTGTAGGACTTTATGGGCTCCTTCT